TGTGAAAGCATCGCGCCTCGTCTAAAGCCTCCCTGTTGCTGGCAGACAGAAAGCTTGAGCCTCAACACGGACGCCATTTCTGCTCTGGGCAACATCCTCCAGTGTCCTGGCGTCCAGTAGCGCCTTACAGGTTTTCGGCTAACCAGTATTCCCAGAACGTCAGAAAAGCGCGGACCACTTTTTGCTTGCTGTGGCTGTTCTGGCAGTAGGGGCTACCGGAGTACCTGGAGGAATTCCAGGGCGGAAAGGGCAACGTCCCCTTAAGGTGTGGCACTGCACTGGGGTGGGGCAGGCGTGCAGCAGAACACCTAGTCTCCAGCACAAACGTGTAAAAAAATACTTTAACAGAGTATACTGTACAGAACTAGGGGTTAACACCATATATGACGATGCTAAAATATTTGTGTAAGTACTATACAGGCATGGAGTGACTCCTTTAGAAAGGGCTCACCCGTGAAGTGAGGCTCTTAAAAACTGCTGTCAGCATGCCCAGAGAGAAACTACTTCCACGGTAGGAACAGGAAAAAGGAGGACTGTGCTGTGTCTAAACACGCGGTGCATTAGAGACATCCTTATAGCTCCTACTGACTACGCCACGACCGGGACAACTGGTAGCTGCACGTGGGGGCTGGCCCTGTGAGAAGATACATTTTGGAACAACACTTTGGATCAGAACTTTCAGCACTTTGAAAACCAGCCATGCAGAGAGATGTCCCTTCTGCGGGGCTCGTCGGCCAGCCACCCCCCTGGGTCCGACGGGGATGACCAAACGCCTAAGGCTCCCACCCAGACGGATGTAAATCGGTGCTCCGTCTCCCACTCTCTCTGGCAGCCAGGTCCGCTGACACATACCGTGGCCAGTCACCTGCCAGTTCTGCGTCCGTTTGTACTGAGTGGCTGATAGGCATTGGACGCAAACAAGGCATTAGATGGATGTACCTGGAGACCCAGCTCCAGTTCCAGGGCTGGGCTGTGGGTGAAGAGGCAGCAGAGGGAGGTGGAGAGAGCGTGCGTCCCCGTCCACTTAAGTGCTGTCCCCCGAGGTGACGTTTATTCGGGAATTTCGATGTTTAATTTGGGAGGGGGCAGCACATATTTTCCAGGGCTCTGCGTGATGACCACCCTGGTCTTCTTTCGAAACATAGGAGCGATTTTAGGAGGTTCCGGAACTGGGGTTTCTCAAGTTTCTTCATCATCTTCGTGATGGAGATTGCAGGAAATGTTTCCGTATTCTAGCAAAAATGGGAAGATTTCAAGCAGAAACTGACAGAAATCTTTGCAAATACCAAACCACCCTGAAAAATAAGAATTTTCTTTTTCAAACGCTAGGCCCAAGTGACTTTCACGTTACCTTTCTTTCCTGAACAAGAAGTCCATTTTCTCCAGAGAGCTCACTCAGATACGAAGACTCTACAGGGCCTCAACCCAATAAGGGGCCAAAGTATGACC